CACTGATGTTTTATTTAAGCCTGATAAGTATATAATAGTATTTATAAACACAAAAATATATGTATATATATATCTCGTGTCACGGTGTTTGTGGTCGCACTCCTCCGAAACGACTTGTCGACCGATTTTAATGATTTATTTGTAAACTTGGTAGGTATGAGAATATGTATAACATTATGATGTCTGACATTTACTTTAATACCGCGACTAATTCACAAAATGTCACTTTTACACCTCCAACTGATAACGTTTACGTGAACGATAAAAAATCTTCAATCTTTGTTATGCGGTGTAAAAATTTAATACCTATACAATTTAGAAAACCAGATCTCTGCTACATCATTTAAATAAAAAATATTGTCATTGAAATGTAGATACAAAGCTGTGCAATAAAATTATCACATTGCATTGTAATAAGTGATAAATAATAAAATGGTATAAATGATACCTGTTATAGTCACGCATTTCTTACTTTATATTTATTAATAATTCATTGTGATGATGTTTAAACTTTGTATTATTTATTTTGACGCTGCTACATGCGTACTAAACATGCATACTAAACTGAGTATCTAATGTAGTATAAACTTGTCTTACACTATTAAAATTAAAAAAAATACACCAATTTTTTTTTTTGGTTGAACCCGTTAATATGCAGAACCACTGGTTTGAATTGAAAAAATATTTTAGTGTTGGATAGCCCATATATCGAGAAAGGCTATAGGCTACGCAGATAACATTCTACGACTAATAGGAAATGGGGAAAATTATTATTTTTGAGAGACGCAAACAAGGTGTGTGGATCAGCTAGTCCATACTAATATTATTAATGCGAAAGTTTGTGTCTGTCTGTCTGCCTGTTACCTCTTCACGCCAATGCCACTAAGCTGTTTTAGATCAAATTTGGTATAGAGATAGTATGAGTCCCGAGAAAGGACATATGATAGTTTTTATCCCCGACATCATCCTTAAAGGGGGTAGGAGTTTGTATGGGGAATCAATAACCGCTGAACCGATTCAGATGAAATGGACGTAGTTTGATTCTTGATACAGGACATAGGCATACTTTTTACCGCGATAAGCGACATACACGGGGGCGGAGCCACGGCCAAAAGCTAGTAATAAATAAAATAAACGTAAGTATTGGACTTTACAGCAAAAGAATTACGTCTTCAAGCTATAGCTTTGCTTATTGCTGACACTACCCAGTATAATAGTAGAAACAACATCCCTTTCCTTCCATTGTCTTCGCTTCTTACTAACCTTTCATTAATTCCTAACGTGCCCGGATGTCAACAATACATGCTTGCAGTCTAGGATGTGAGTTCGACCAAATTTTAGTTCACAAAATGTAGGTGTTTAAATTGTTTTGTTTACTCCAAACGCGATCAATGGTGTTAGTATATGTTTTTAAAAATTAAAAGATCCAAAGACCATTGATCACGTTATTAACATTATTTTCGTGTGCAATAACGGTTCTTAATATTCCAACTGAAATTACGTGCTAACGTTTGTCTTTTAAATATAACAATGGAAATACAAATTCTTGTCTTAGATATTAACACAGTGGGTGCACACTAAAGGTGCTGACATACTCTTCTACATATTATTTCTTTCAATATCTATACTAATATTATAAAGGTTGGTTGAACGCGCTAATCTCAGGACCTGGATGGTTCGAATTGAGAAATTATCAGTAGGACGTACGAGGATCAAACTTTCTTTAAGTGTTGGATAGCAGATTTATCGAGGAAAGCTAGTCCATAGGTGAAAGAGATAACATCACGATAACGATTAATAGGAGTCGAGTATCAATGAAAAATGTTGCAAAAACGGGGAAATAAAATTATACGTATTTAACCAAATGTAAGGCAAATCAATCAAAAGGCAAACTACCTCGCTTACTCAGAAGTAACAACCGTTGCTTCATATCAAGTGACCAACATTTTTAGACGCTGCAGATCTCGCAACAAACTCTCGAACTCGAACCCACTTTATTCAGAACAGTTGCCAATGTAAATTAAAGAATACAAAACGTACAAACTTTTTTCTACTACTTAACCTATATTGACAGTAGTCAATAACGACTTGGTGACTTGGCAAGTAAATCAAAAGTCAAACTTCAAAATCTAAAATCCATCGTTTTTCGGTTGTCCTACTCTAGTATTAACAATATTGATGAAATCGAAGTCGCTTTATCTATTATTTTATCTGCTATAATGATCTTCAGTAAAATAAACGAGGACAAAATCCTAAGCGCTTCGTTTCACAAAGATCAAACAACTTAAGGAATCGATCAGAATCTATTCGTAAGAAAATATGCGTATTCCGTTTTTAAAACCCTTTCTATTTTCTAGTTCAAATAACACAAAGTATTTGAACTAGAAAATATCATTCATTCCTTTTCGCATATATTTAACGCATATTTATACAATGTCGCTATAGCATCCTATTTACTGTCCAGGTATGAAGTATTCAGATATAATTTATTCATAATGGAATGCCAACTGCACAAAACTAAGTTATTCGTCATTTTATATATGAATTCGCTTCTTATAATATACACCAAATCCTTGACACAGTGAGAAACACGACAGCGATTGAAGTGATGAGCTCATTTTAATAGAAATTACTTATGTAGTTGTATACAGCCACTATGTTTATTGGTACATTAGTTGTAATTTAATTGTAGTCTGTGAATTTGAATATATAATAGCAGAAAATGGTCTGCAATATTTTAATATTACCTATTTATCATATTTACGTGTAGTTTATCAAGAATTGTGGTTACACACAGACACATACTTACAAGAAGTTCATACACCCGATAGTTATTTACCTCTGGAATATGTGTACGAGTGACATTAATACTTTTTGAAACGAATAATCTAGTTGGTTTATCTCTTGGCTGCAAGGCTCTACGCAGAAGGATCGTACGGGGGGGTATCGTATGATCTCGTTTGAGGCGGCCACGCTCCTGGCGCGATATTTACAATTCGTCATTCTGGCCGACATGGACGCGATCGTCTATGACCAAGTTCGCTCTGTCGGTCGTAATGGTGAAGAGGCTGCGCGGGATCATGAGCCCGGAATGCTACAGCGGAACGCGTATACGCAGGCTCTGCGGTCGTGGCAGGCACGGCTAGAAATCTAGGGCTGTGCTAGACAACGCGCCGTCGGAGCCATTCTGCCGAGCTTCGAAGCGTGGGTAGGATGTCACCTACCGATTGACTCAGATCCTCACCGGGCACGGTTGCTTCGGTTAGTATCTGAATCGAATTGGACGGGAGGTCACCGCACAATGCCACCATTGCGGGTCAGACCGGTAGTCAGCCCAGCACACGTTGGAGGACTACCCTACGTGGGAGTCCGAACGTCAAGTCTTGGTCGGACATATCGGACGAAACCTGTCACCGCCAGTTTTGATCGCGGCAATGCTGGCGAGCAGTGAAGGATGGGCAGCCGCGGTCACTTTCTGCGAGGACGTTGTGCTCAAGAAGGAGGCTGCAGAGCGAGATCGGGAGAGGGCCGATCCCGCGAGAAGGAGGTGGCGAAGGGGACGCCCCAGAAGTCGCTAGCTCCCCAATCGCCGCTACATTTTGGGCCATGGGGTACGACAGGGAGAACTACAGAAGCCGCCGATACGTTCCTGGATCTCCTCCCGACTGACGAGGTAGGCCGCCGCACTGTTTAGTAAGTAGACCGGGTAAAACATTCCCCGCGTAAAAAAGTACAGTCCAACTGCAGAGTTGAAATTACTTATTAAGTAATATCTAGTAAATAAGGAAGTTTAATATATGTGAATGATGTTGATCTAATTAATAATATATCAGGCAGTGTCAGTTTAAAAAAAAAGTGATATGAAAGTAATACTGAAATCATTCCAACATTCTTGAACGTTTAGACGTTTAGCTATATACATATATAAATACATATGTCATATACGACAGAAGGCGATTTCAGGTAAAGTTCAATAGTAAAGGTCTCTATAGACTGGTATTGATAAAATATGAACGTATTTTTTTTTTTTTTTAAACTTGGCTGTCTAATTACACCGGATGTACAAACGCAGTGATGTAAGAGACAATTTTTAAATGTCACCGTTTATCAACGGTATCTTTGCATAGCGGTCTTCGGTCATTAGTCCTTAACACCATGTAATCAATTGACTAGCAAATCATAATAATTACCCACAAAAGAGGTAGCCAGCTCTATATTCTTTTTTATTTCAGAATACCAGACTGTTGCTTAAATTGGGGTCGCTTAACGTGTACGGTGCTTCTGGTGGATTTTCTGCCACATGCTTTAAACGTTCTCATATGCATGCGCATATCTATTTTACATATTTTTATGATAAAATACACTATCCTTTATATCTAAAATATTTTATCACATTGAAATCTTTATTAGGTGTTTTTATAGTAAAATATAACTTAAGAGTACTAAATGCGGTATTTATTATTCAAAGATATAATTTAAATAATATGTTTTAAAGAATATTATTATCTACATATATTTTAGATTTTAATTAACGATAACCTAAGAAACAATTGATCAAATAACATAATTTACTCATATATAAAATATTAACAATGTTTCAAAACATAGTTTATTTACTAATTTAAAAAATATCGCAATAGAATCACTGATTTATATTTCAAATAATATCACAAAAAACATTAGTATTCTTGTTTAAAAACATATGTAAATTAGGTACTTGCACTAAAACTGTGACCTCGTCATAATAAGTAGCCATGTTCGCATGCAAACAACAAAAAAAAAGAAAAATGAGTTGACCACAGTAGATTAGTTTGTAGATGCATTTTATAAAGTTACAAAAATATAGCACAATTGTAATAACGTTATAGTTTAGTAAATAGTCGATTTTATTCGATGACCTCACCAGTTTCTGGTAAAAGAAAACATTGCTTCTTTCGTAGTCGTATTTTGTCATAATCGTCTTATTTTTATCCGAATAACAACTTGAGTATTCCACTCACCTAATAATAAAGGACGCATGCTGCTATTTCTCGTTTCTTTTAATCTGAAACAAACAACAATTTTGTTACTATGTAGTTTCGTTGAGTAGCATTGTCGATATCCAAGTACGCACAAAAATTTGTAATATGCTGCATAACCTTGTCAAGTTCAAATAAAATATTTGTTTTTCTTCAGATACGAGGAGGACCGTACCGACCGATACAGTGGTTAAGCAACATGAAGTTTTATTCAAACTATTTTATTGTTCAAACCGTTTAATGAAACGAAGATCGAGTACTAAAACAACATTAAGAAGCTACGAAGAAATATAAATAAATTCACGGAAGGAAATCGCGATTAAGTATAACTCGAGAGAGGCGAAAGTTAGTTGATTCATCAACAGCCTTTAATAGTTCACTACTGGACATAGGCCTCTCCTTAGAAAGGAGGTTTTGGCCTACTATACCACGCTGGCCAGACGGGTTGGTATAGGGTTTGTGTCAAGTTTTCCTTCTTTTTGCAGTGCTGGTGTCCTGCGTTGTTTTGCGCCCTTAGTCGGCTCATACGACGCCCACGGGATGAATTAGGGTAGTGACATTCCGTATTCTTAATCCGTCACTACACGTTAGTTGATTACCAATAATAAAATCACAAATGTTTTCGCAATGACTGGTTGTTATGAGGATTTCAGATAGGAATTTTCTTAAATAAATACAAAAACAAATAACATTTTTTTCACATCCTTCGACTGAGCTGATGATGATTATTGTTTTAGTAGGCTACTACTATTTGTACGCAGAAATGTATTGACCTGGATTCATTTATTATATGTGTGTATATACAAAATGTATTTACCTAAGAAAGTAAAGACAGGTGGTAAAGTGTACACAGCCATGCTTAGTTTGAATCTGTGTTCATTAAAACAATTCACTACGAAATTGAAAATATTTTTTTCAAATGTTTTAATGTCGACATAACATTTAATCTATTTTTGTGATTAAGTTAATAAATTAAATTGACATTAATGTCCATGTAACGTGATCCCTATTTAAAAGTAATTTAACGCCTATTAAAATTTAAATATTTTGATGATAATCCTGATTTCGACATAAAAACTTTTCGTTATGATGTATTAATAAGTTTTAGAACACAAGATAAAAATGGTTTAAATCTGCAACAGGTTTGCGAATTGATTGATAGTGTCAAAGCCACAGATTAGGTAAGTCTGACATTGGTTAATTGACAATAAATGACGATGACATGTGACCTTGAACTTTTAACAACTAATTTTGACGCCTGTACGGCGGCGACGCCGAATATTAATATCTACCAAGTCTAAAAAAGTGATAAATATTCAAAATTACGATTTTGTTAAAAAAATACAAGTAATCATTAGAAGTTAGTATATATATATATACTTAAGTTGTAAGTCTTAAATTAATTTCCATGCCTTTTTAATGTCGAAGCAGAAAGAAAAATAGTCACGGAGGCCTATTTTCCTTATTATATGTAAGTACCACATATATTTACACATATACATATATAGGATGTCTCAGTAAGAGTGCACTTTTTAAAGTTAGAAACATTTTTTTGTGCAAGTGGCAACTCTGAAAGCTGACAGCTGTCACCTATGTTTATTCGAAAAGGGAGCGCTTTTCGAAAGAATAACGCGTTATGATTAACTCATTACAAAAATGGGGAAAGATACACCTTACACCGCTAGCAAATTTCGCCAAATTTTCAGTCGAGAAAGTGCACCTAGCATTCACCTAGCACCTAGTATTCAGCTAACTCAGGACCTCAAACAAGCAATTTGTTCAATGGGTAATGGAGCAAAGTGAAGTACATGCGACGAAGCGCATTTCCATTTGAATGGCTACGTGAATACACAAATTGTCGAATTTCATGCTCAGAAAATCCTCATGCAATCCATGAGAAACAAATGCACCTACAGCGACCAACTGTCTGGTGCGGATTTTGGTCTGGCGTCGTGATTGAGCCTTACTTTTTTGAAGATGTGGCCGAAATTGCAGTAACTGTGAACGGCATTCGTTACTAGAATATGATAACGTGTGATAACGTGGCCTTAACTGGATGGCATGGATCTGAATAACATGTGGTCTCAGCAGGACGGTGCCACCTGCCACACCGCGCATGAAACAATCGACTTATTGCAGCAACTATTTCCAGAACACATTATCTCACGAAATTCTGATGTCGAAATGTGATGTGATTTAACGTCGTGCAATTTTTTTTCTGGGTTTTGTGAAATCCTGGGTTTATGCGAATAAACCAGAAACAATTCCTGAGTTCAAATCAGAGATCCAACGCGTCATCGGTAAGATACAGCCACATCTCTGTGTAAAAGTCATGGAAAAATTCACGAAAGAAGTGATGGCCTATCATCAGAGCCGGGGGGGGGGGGAGGGGAGGGCATTTGCCTGATATTTTATTCCATACTTAATCGGAATATGTCTTTACATCCAATAAAAATATCACAACTCTTTCATAAAAAACGTGTTTTTATTTTAAAATGCAAAAGTGCACTCTTACTGAGACACTCTTTATTACCATCATATTATATGAGTCATTTTTTTATTTCAATGTCAATATCCCCAGTTAAAATCAAGTTATCCCCAGACAAGTGTCACTAACTATATTTGACTACTAGCTGACCCGCGCAACTTCGTCTGCGTCTCTCAATAGTAATATTTTTTCTCCGTTTTTGAAACATTCTTCATTGGTGCTAGGCTCCTATTGGTCTTAGCGTGATGATATGTAGCCTATAGCCTTCATCGATAAATGGGCTATCTAACACTGAAAGAATTTTTCAAATCGGACCAGTAGTTCCTGAGAATAGCGCGTTCAAACAAACAAACAAACTCTTCAGCTTTATAATATTAGTATAGATTATTGTCTTACAAAATAGTTCAAGAAGCAGAGTATTTCTACTCCTCAAAAGTATTTAAAACTATTAAAAAAAAAAACAAAATTTGTTACACCCAATAACAATACGAGTTTACAACCAACATTGTAACATATACATAAAATAAATCAAAAAACCTTTTCTAAGAATACCTTTGCCTGTCAGTGCGATACCAGAGATAATAACAAAACAGATAACTGTGACTCGTGCACAGAGGAATCTGTACAAAGTTATAGGTCCGTCCATCTAGAGAATCGATTCTCGAAGATTTTTGCCTTTTTGCCCTCCGAGGGACAATTTTCTGAGTATTAATTTTAAAATCCTTGAAAAAAACTCGCCATAAAAGTGACAGTATTTTTAGTGCAAAATATAAGTTTGTAATATTTAAAAAAAACTTGATTATGTGATATAAGAATACATTATAAATTAATTTAGTCCATACGTTTATTGCAGTGATTTGGGTGCATCATTTGCAGGTTCGGGGAGGGCAAATGTAAGTTTTTTTATGTTTCCTTGGGGTCCTTGCCCTGCTTCTGCTAGGGTGACAGATGGCCTCACCTGTCACCCCCAGGCCTGCGCTTATGGAGGACGGAGATCGTGCTGCGACCTCCGGCGCCTGACCCGTCTGCGGTACCGGTGCGCCGGAAGAGTTCTAAACCTCTCCCGGTCCCGCTCCGCCATCTCCTTCGCAAGCATAACTTGCTCGCAAAAGGAGACGGCAGAGTTAATAACACTTGATACCTACCTAAACTCGTTCCTTAGAAAAGGGTTCAGATAAACATTTAGACGGGCAATAAATCATTTTTACAAGGGTCTTTTTTTTCTTTTAAACAACGGATCCCTAAAAGCATAAACGTTCTCAGTGTTAGTACTTAGAATAAAGCCTTTGGTCACGGTCAGAGGAAACGTCCCAACTCTTATCTCGCATAAGCCTGTCAAATGTAAGTAAACATTAGTAGTTTGACATTACAAAGGACACACACATGTCGAGATATACCTCATTTAAAAAATACCAGTTATGTAGTTGTGGTATTGTTATTGAAATAGTCTTAACTCATATACGAATACGTGTATTACGTCTTATTTCTTTTATTTTAAACGTAATTAAAATGTATTAGTAAATTAAAGTTTAATTTTATATAACATTTTATTAATTTTAAATGATCATAAAGTATAAATTATGTGATTTAAAATAAGTAATGTATTTAAATATTAATTCATCTAATATTTTTTCCTAGGTATATTTTTTTATACATATTTACATTTAATAAGTCAATTATCTATTGATGGAATAATTAAATGTCGAACTAAATAAACTGTCATTTTATCGTAAATAGCTAATGCCAATTAAATTATAGGTTTGAAAAATATGATGATTAATATTATTTTATTTACTATTTTTAAGAAGAAAACAAGATCCTCTGCATGACCTAATAAACCCCTTATTTGTGATATAAAATACTGCTGTTTTGAAAATGTTTAAGATATATCTTCATCAACCATTTTAATACTCGAAATATCTACCAAATTATTCTCATGTAACTTAGAAAGCGAATTTTCTCTCAAGACTAAAAATTCAACATTAAAATGAAAATTAAGTACAAAACCAACCATAATTAGCTTAGCTTTAATTCACAAGAAGCATTTAAAATTTTAATTCGAATTGACAAAGGCAGGGCCCGTTAAACCGTTCGCAGTCACAACAAAGAAAGGTTTGACCTACATTCCTGAACCTTAATGTCAACGGCCTTAAAATATATACTTACGTTGAGGTTAAACCGCAAACACTAATTATTAAATTAAATTTTACACAATTTTTTATTTGGAACGTGTAAAAAGCGCGGGAAGCGAGCGGCTGCCTGGGCGCCAGCTCGATAGCGAATGACGTGCCCGGAAGCTGGCTCGACGTGTTTATATCTAGACATTTAACAGTTATGTTTGAAGTAGCCTTACTAGACATAGAATAGGCACCATGGTGCCGTATGAAGCTGGTGTATTAAAAATCTATTGTAAGGTTGCCGTAGTTGCAATGATATTCCTGCGACCGTTCAGGTTCTAAAGAACAATGACTGAAACATATTTACCTAAACCTTAAGCGTTTAATCAATTAACTCACAGTAAACTAAATTAAAATTTTTTCTATGATTTATCATTACACCACCGTGTGTTGTATAAGTCTTACAAGAGATAGGATTTTTTAAGAACTTATTTGACCTAAGTGCGTAATGTCTGACATAATTATTCGCCATCACGTGTAACTGGGATGCGTGATATCATTATTATATTATAGAACGTTTAATCGATAACGACAACCCAGGACACCAGCACTGCAAAAAGAAGGAAAACTTGATACAATCCCTATACCAACCCGTCTGGCCAGCGTGGTATAGTAGGCCAAAACCTCCTTTCTAAGGAGAGGCCTATGTCCAGCAGTGGACTATTAAAGGCTGTTGATGTGTGATGTGAATCGATAATCTTTTTTATAGTTATGGCTGAAATACAAAATCAAATCAAAAGAAAACTTAAAAGACATCCAGACACATATCTAGAAGACAATATTATGTCTATATTTTAGACAAAAATTATATAGGTACGTGATCGATGAGGCATTATAGAATGGTGTAAGTAATGTTAGTACTTAACCTTGAAATATTCAAAATCCAATATATTTTTTCCTAGACTTCTTTCGCTAGTAATTTTGTTATGAGAACGGTCAACAATAAATTCTCAAGTGTTTTTGGCATTTTTGATATATGTATATGTACCTGCCATTGACCTTTAAATCTGATTTTAAACACCTACTGTATGAATGATATCATAGCTTCTAAACAAAGTGAGGTAAACTGCAAAGGGTAATATCATTTGTCATGTGTTGTATATTTTAAAAGCAACATTACGATAGAAACTCTTTTTTTTTCTGGAGTAATCAATACTATACGTTGTACCTACACGCAAACCTTACGCAAAACTTACTTGTCGAGTGTTGGAAATGTATGTACATAAATAGAAAAAGTGGGCATATAGGTTTATCAAAAACTTACAGAGACATTTCCGTTCCGTCTATTTATTATGAGTACTACTCCGTCCCGGGATATCGAGCACGCGAAGTCGATAAACGCAACAACAGAAATTGCCCGTGGTAGTAGAAAGGTATGCTAATTTAAGCGCCACATTAGATATCAACGTATATTATCAATCAATTTCTTTATATCTCAGACGATTAATCTAACTGTGATAGTATTCTTTTTAATATGTTAAAGATTTTTTGCAGTATGCCAAAGCACAAAATGAAAGCTTATGCACTAAAATGTATAAGACTTTATTTAGTCCTGGCAAAACTACCTATTTCTTTAATAAATCATTAATGTCTGCCTATCGGTCTCTTTTATAATGACTTGAAATTATAAATATTTATTTTTTATTAAATAACCACGTTATTTCATTGCTTACTCCCTTTTTCACTGTGTGAAACAAAAAAAAAAGAGTCTTTCCCTTTGGCCGTCTTTTCTTTTGTATCCTTTACTTACCTAATTCACATTGCACAACATTTTACTCACTCCGAATACGGTAAATACTTGTTTAACGTTTAATCCACTTGCACTACTGTTAGTCTCCCATAATTGAACACACCCTAGTCACACCACACCACTCTATAGTTCTAGTACTGATTACAAATCCATTTTGTAAAGATGTTTCGATTTCCTACGGGAGACCTGTGTTTTCCTAGCTTGCCTCATCTCATAAGTCATTGACGATCGGATGGCGAGTGGTTTGTGTAATGGACTGCTATTCCAAAGGTTGCGGGTTCAATTCCTACTCAAGTCAAAAATTTGTGTGCATGAACATTTAATGTTTGTTTTGGTCTGGGTGTTTCTATGTATAATATTTATGTATTTACAAAAAAAAAGTATATATGAATTTATATCAGTTGTCTAGTACCCATAGTACAAGCTCTGCTTAGTTTGGGACTAGATGGCGTTGTGTGAATGTGGTAGAATATATATTATCTATTATTATAATCATTTTTAAACTATTTTATTTTTAACCGATTTAAAAAATACAAAAGAGGAGGTTCTCAATTCGACTGTTTTTTTTAAAGAGACTGGTTTTATTTGTCGTATTTGTGATATCACTAATTTATTTCTTTGTTCAAAACTGAAATCTATAATAACTACTATTGGTTATGCACATTGCCTAAGCGCAGATGAATGACAGCTGGTCTAGAAAAAAGCCGGTCTTGTTCGACTTACTCCACATAAAAACTATTTTTTTTTGCTATATTATTATTTTTAAGATTAAAAACAACAGTCCATCAATAATATCATTGAAATAGACATTAATGATTTTAATGTTGAGTTTTGACGTCAAGATTATCCAGGGCAGATTGATCATGTAGAGGATGATATGTGAGTACAAAATGCTGTCAACGATTTAATGTTAGGTGCATCATAGATTTAAATTAATAATAAAAGGCAACTGATGGTTTTATGGAGGGTAACATCTTGTTGCTCTCCGAATCCTTATACCAGCTCTTAAGTCACATATGACCGCCGAGACCTAATAGATGTCCTTTTTTTAAAATAAAATTCAGAGTACATTCATACTAAACACCGTTCAATCAGATGTATTCATTAATGTAATTAAAACACATGCATAAAATAAGTAAAACTATGATGGAATTAATAACTTAAATTGTCATTTTAGTTATTAATTCTTCGAAACATATATTTTCATCTATGTTTCGAGACAGCAGGCTGCTTCAAGCTGGACTTATGAAGCTAGGTACTGTTGCTCTTAAAACAAATAATATCGTTCAGTTTTGCTCTATTTTTCTATAAACCAAAGTACTATTAAAGAATTTAAATAAAATGATATGGACATTGTGCAGAATATATGTAGATTAAACAAATATAGATATACCTTCGTCCGTGACACTGAAAGTGGGACAGATTCGTAGGCCTCGAGGCAAGTTTTATCTGATTGTAAAACCTGATTTTGTTTACATTTCACGATTAAAGATTTTACAAGTTTGGCAAATGTTTAATAAGTCTATAATTTAAATTTTAATGAATATAATACTTTAAGAGCCGGTTTTTCAATACTCAGATAAACAGATAGTATTTATTCCACAGTTAGTGTAGTTTTGGATGGTCAGATAGCTGATATCTGAAGAATAAGCTTAAATCTAAGGAATAACTTTATCTGTCGTTTCACGCCTCAGTTAGTGATATTAAAATTTTCCAATATTTGTTGTAGTAAATGTTATGTACGTAATTTATAAGTACGTATGTATGTAATTTTGCTTAAGTGAATATGAATGCTTTCAGCCCGAACGACGATTTAACTATAGAATAAAACCATCTGATCCTAAACTTTTTGAGCCCTGAGATAAAAGAAGGGATTGTTAGAGAAAGATATGACAATACTTTGTGTGATGATGAACAATTTCATCACAAGTTATTAGCAAATGCAATTTCTCGAAAAGTAATGCTCGTTTCTTAATTTATTTCATTTTATACGAAAGTAACACGAATAATAACAATATTCTATAGCACATTCACACAACGCCATCTAGTCCCAGACTAAAAGCTCGTGATACTTATCTAACCTGTTACTAATTGTATAACTGCATCTCCCTTGCGCATGTTTCTCCAAAAAGCAAACCTGACAACTAACCTAAGTGCATTTGATCCAATTGATGTCACACAAAAATTCAGGTCACAAACTAAAAACCAAAGTGTATTTACTGTTTCGAAATGCCCAAAATTCTACAATAAATATTTTTTTTTGTATATTACGCAAACGTGAACGTAGTACTTATTTCTCTTTACAGTGAACTTAGCTATGAAAGACCATCAAGTAACTATCTGTTGGTTTACATCCGATTGAAAAACAGAAAAAGTTTATTCGCTTGATAAACAGCAAGATAAATGTATTTATTTGGTTGGTAATATCATCAAGAATTATAGTTTTAATTACCAGATTTTTAGAACTTTGCGTTCAAAAGTTATTTCGGTTGGTAGTTTGCATAATGACTGGAGCCGATACTAATGGCAGCTAGTTGTCATAATTGAGTTTTCATTGCTGTCAACAAGTTAATCTATATATCTTTCAAAACTTTCAAAATCATTCGTTTATGATTTTCAATAAAATTTTGCCCTGTCAAATCAGTTTAATTACTTTATTCACTTGATCTAATCGATTTGAAAAAAAATATTAGTACTTTTCCTTAATTTTTTTGATTTAAAATAATCATTTCTTTATTTCTTCACTTTCTTCTTACACTAGTCAGCTCATTGAATAAATCTCGATGTAAACACATTGTTTTTTATGTAATTTACATTTTATAAAAACGTAGGCATGCGTTTTGTTAATAACATTGAACTTTTAGTTATTTCAGTTGAAGCAATTCTTTGAGCAAAATTTATTTACTTATAGCAAAGTTCTGAAATTATAATAATTACATGAAAATAGTTAGGATGACTTACTTTATAAATCGTACAAATCCCATAACCATCCATCATAAATTACTAGGGGCACAGGATCTACAGGCCGGGGTGGCGGCGAGCGCGTTGCGAAGCGCGCTCGCTTCCAGGGAGCAGAGGGAACATGGGGTTCCCACACGGGGAGGGTCGTCTACTTGTTGTAGATGGCCCGAGGAATGTCGGGGCACCAGGGACTTCCTTTCTAGGGTATACCTGGTTCCCCGGCCATTAGTACCCGAGACGGCGTGCAGTTTTGGGCGGTGGTAGGCGAGGGGATTCCCGCACGGAAAAAAAAAAAGGGGCACAGGATCTGCCGTTATCCTTTATAATCGTGGATTAAAAACTGGCCCTAAATATAAATAAAATAGCAGAAAGTCGACTTTCCACTGAGATTCGAAAACCTTCAAAAATTGACTGAAATTATCAAACACGTCGATCGCACCTTAAAATAAAAGGTGCGAATATTGTGATTGGA